TTGGTTGTTAATGTTACGGGTTGGTTGTTAAGGTTATGGGTTGACTGTTAAGGTTATGGGTTGACTGTGAAGGTTAACTTCACAACCAACGCGTAACCTTCACAACCAATGCTTATCCTTAACAACCGACGCGTAACATTAACTCACAACCCGTAACTTTCACAACCAACGCGTAACATTAACAACCAACATGTAACATTCATAACTAACGCGTAAAACCCTTGGCTTTTGATGTCAAAAGCTTCTCTTTTCTCAATAACAGCTCATTTCTCAGAGAGAAGAATGTTGTTCAGATCCCGAAACATCCTCCATTAATCTCACTACAATCTCTATCTCCATCATAAAAACGCCCAAATTCGCAGATGAAAACAACTAACGACATCAAAAACTGGTCGCAGTTCATCGAGACCCAAATCCCCAAAACCCTCACCGAGCCCAAAACGATCAACACCTAGGAGCTCATGGAAAGCCTCGAAGAGGCCGAGGCCGAGGCCCAATTCAGCCGCCGGTCATCCGCCGCCATCGAAAGATCCTTGTCCTTCGACAATGCAGCACCATCGCCCAAACCCCAGTGGCTTGAATCAACCCCCTACAAGCCAATCGTCTCCAATTTTGACCCCAAAATCCTCCCAAATTTCAGAAAAGCCCTTAGCGAGCTCTCTCCTCAACATCAAACCCTGCTCAAATCCCCCGAACCCACAAAACAACCATCTTCCATCGTCATGGGTATAACTTGCGAATTTTTACAATGTTTGTTCATTTTAAATGAATGTAAATAAATTACATGTACATCAAAATTCGTGATTTTTATCAGTTGTAAGTCACAATTTTGTCAATTTTTGTTCATTTTGAATGAACGTAAATTTATTATGTACTTCAAAATTTGATTTTTGACAATTTTGTTTTGAACGAACGTAAATAAATTATGTGTACATCAAAATTCACGATATCCGTGAGCTATAACCCTCAATTTTGTCCTATTTTATTCAATTTGAACAAATATAAATTAAATGTGTACTTCAAAATTTGAAATTTTCATGGACTATGACCCAACATTTTTGACAATTTTGGCACATTTTGAATGAATGTAAATAAACTATGTGTACATCAAACTTCGCGATTTTCATGGGCTATAACCAAGAGTTTATCATACATCGAATAATTCGAACGAATGTAAATTTATTATGAGTACTTCAAAATTTAAGATTTTTATAAGCTATGAACCATGTTTTTTTAACAAATTTGGTTCATTTTGAACAAATGTAAATAAATTATATATACATCAAACTTTGTAATTTTGATGCGCTATAACACTTTGCCATTTTTTATTCGTTTAGAACAAATAGAAATAAGTAGGTTTATTATATGTACTTTATAATTTGAGATTTTTAAGGGTTATAACTAACGAATTTTGATAAGTTTTGTTCTTTTTGGGAAAGTAAATAAACTCTGTGTACGTCAAAATTTGCGATTTTCATAACATATAACCCGCGATTTTGTCAATTTTTGTTTGTTTTGAACAAATGTAAATTTATTGTGTAATTTTCATGGGCTATATAACCTACGATTTTTAACAAGTTTGGCTCATTTTGAGCGAATGTAAATAAATTATGTGTAAATCAAAACTCATGATTTACATGACCTATAACCTACGATCTTTTGTCAATTTTGGTTCATTTCTAATGAAAGTGTTATGATCTGTACATCAAAAGTTGTGATTTTAATGGGCTATAACCCATGACTTTTGGCATGTTTTAACCATTTTGAGTGAATGTAAGTAAATTATGCATACATCAAAATTCATGATTTTCATGAGCTACTATAACCTATGAATTTTGTCAATTGGGTTCATTTCAGACAAAAGTAATTTTATTATTTGTACATCAAAATTTTTGTTATTTTCATTGGCTATAACCCATGATTTTTGATAATTTTTTTGTTTTGAACGAATGTAAATAAATTATGTGTATATCAAAATTCGCAATTTTCATGAGCTATAACCCATAAATTTTATGAATTTTGGTTTTCTTTAAACAAAAGTAAAAAGTTATTATGTGTACATCAAAATTTAATATTTTCATTGGCTATGACCCATGATTTTTAACAATTTGTTGTTCGTTTTGAACAAATATAAATAAATTGTGTACATCAAACTTCACAATTTTCATGAGCTATAACCCATGATTTTGTTAATTTTCGTTCGTTTAGAACTAATGTAAATTTATTTTGTTAATTTTCACGATTTTCATGAGCTATAACCCATAGTTTTTTTATAATTTTGGTTTATTCTGAACTATGTACATCAAAATTCATAATTTTCATAAGCTATAACCCACAATTTTGTCAATTTTTGTTTGTTTTGAACGAACAAAAATTTATTATGTGTACTTCAAACTTGGGATTTTCATATGCTATAACCCGTGAAATTTTGAAATTTTTGGTTCTTTTTCAACGAATGTAACTAAATTATGAATACATCTAATAACCTACGATTTCGAACGAATGTAAATTTATTACATGTACTTTATAGTCTGAGATTTTCAGGTGATATAATCCATGACTTTTGACAATGTTGGTTCGATTTTAACGAATGTATATAATTTATGTGTACATCAAATTTCATGAGCTCTGAGCCACGATTTTGTCAATTTTCATTCATCTTGAACAAATATAAATTAATTATATGTATTTAGGATTTTCATATGCATAACCTATGAATTTTGACAATTTGGTTTCGTTTTGAACGAATATAAATAAATTATGTGTCATCAAATATCGCAATTTTCATGGGCTATAACTCATGATTTTATCAATTTTTGTTCGTTTCAACTGAATGTAAACTACTATATGAATTTTCAGTTTTGGGATTTTCATGGGCTACATCCCACAAACTTTGACAAGTTTGATTCTTTTTGAACAAAAGTAAACAAACTACATATACATCAAAATTCATGATTTACATGAGATATGACCCACAATTTTGCTAATTTTGTTTGTTTTGAACGAATGTAAATTTATTATTTGTACATTAAAATTTGCGATTTTCATAGGCTATAAGTTATGATTTTTGATAATTTTTGTTCCTTTGAATGGACGTAAATAAATTATGTCTACATAAAAATTCTTGATTTTCTTGAGCTACAACCCATGATTTTTTTTTAATTCTGTTTCATTTTGAACAAAGTAAATTTGTAATGCGTACATCAAATTTTGCAATTTTCATCAGCTACAACCCAAGATTTTTGGCATTTCTGGTTCATTTTCAACGAACGTAAATAAATGATGTACATCAAAATTTATAATTTTCATTCGCTATAATTTATGAAGTTTGCCAATTTTGGTTCATTTCGAATGAAAGTAAATTTATTATGTGTACATTAAAATTTGCGATTTTCATTGGAAACCCATGATTTTTTATAATTTTGGTTTAATTTGAAAGAATGTAAATAAATTATATGTACATCAAATTTTGTGATTTTAGAGCGCTATAGCCCACGAATTTTTTTAATTTTGGTTCACTTTTAACAAAACTAAATTTATTATGTGCACATCAAAATTGAAGTTTTTATGGGCTATGATTCGCGATTTTTTACAATTTTGGTTCATTTTGAATGAATGTAAATAAATTATGTGTACATCAACATTCGCGATTTTTATGAATTGTAACCTATGACTTTGTCATGATTCGTTTCAAACGAATGTAACTTTATTATGCGTACATCAAAATTTGATACTTTAATGGGCAGTAACCCATATTTTTGTTTATTTTTGTTCGTTTTGAATGAATGTAAAAAAAATTATGTCTACATCAAATTTTGCAATTTTCATGACTTATATCTCACGATGTTGTCAATTTTTGTTTGTTTTGAATGGATTTAAATTTATTATGTCTTCTTCAAATTTTTTGGATTTTCATGGATTATAATCATTGGTTTTTGACAATTTTAAGAAAATCGGAGACGTAGGCATCCATTTCACTCCTGTAAAACAATGCCTCTATGATAGGGGAGGTCCCTCACAGAAAGGAAAGGTATGAATTCAGAATATTGAGGTATTTGATACCGACTCTGGGCGTGAAAGGCTATCCCTACTAAGCAAAGATAGAGAATCGTGTGAAGAGCCTCCAAGAGAGAGACCACTTTCATTAGACTACTACCACCTCCAGGTACCTTTGATGTGTTTCTCTCCTACAAGATGATGAGAAATTCCTAACTCCCATTTATCCAGTGAGATGTGTTTCACAGCTCAAGAATGTTCAATGAATGAAACATCCTAGTTTAAGATCATGTTCCAATCGTTGTTCAAAAATAAGAGAAGAAAATAATTTTAGTTTCTTTTGGTTTCGGATTGTGGATATGTGCACGCTTAAGTTGCACATGTACGGGTACGTGTGCACGTACATGTGCAGGTACGAGACATGGGAATTTTGCAAAAGGTGCGGTAAGAGACACAGTTGAAACTCTTGGAATATAATCATACTTATGAGCTATATATGTAAATGACTTTCTGAAAGTTACAAAAGACATGAAGATAAGATGTAGAGGGTAACATAATTATGCAACACATACTTTATAGCCAGTACAGCTGATAAATCAAAATTTTATATGGAGATCACCGAATAACATATACAGGCAATAGAGTTAAACAACTTATCTTACCAACATGCGTACAGGACTACAATTTCATTAGCTTACATATTAAGACTTCCTTTAACAATTGAAAGCACCCACTGAAACTATTCTCGCATCCGCTTGGTTTTTAAGTTTAGTAAAGCCATGAAATGGGATTTAATCTCACATAAAAAAGAACAGTTAGATACATTGTTAAATACATTTGGGTTCATGATTCAAATAGGGTCAATTCTTTGCGTATGTTGGACCCAAGTAGATTAGCCTAATTCATCTTTGTTAATTGACCTTTCCAATCCAACACAAAAGGTGCACAGAGAGCAAATCAAACAACAAATAGATGATACAAAAGAAAGGACAGAGATACCTTACCTATGATTTCGACTCCAAAGTGAGATATTGCATGGAGGAATGATGAATGCTGCAATAGAACGATAGATACATGAACTGACCTTTCTGATCAACATTTCGTTTGCTCCGCCAATATGTTATCCCTAGCTTCTTAATTATGAGAAAACTGTAAACAGGAAAAATACGCTACAAATTATACTTCGTAGAAAACCATCATGTCTCATGAGAGAGAATTTTTCCTTTTTGAGGTAATATCTGGAACACAATTACTATAGATCGTTTACCTGCAAGTTATAGACAGGAGTCGGTTGGTTGCAAGAGCCTTTCAGTAACCTGCGCCGGTTATCACTGCTTCCATTGCTGTTACAGAAGACAATGAATAACTCTAGTATTAGCTTTCAGCATCAATGGATAGTAAAAGATCATTCAGTTCTTCCTTAAAAGAGTTTTGATTGACTTACTTTCATCCTTTTGATTGCCTTTGTGCTGGAGGGAGCATCCCACAACTTTACATGGTGCAGTCAGCAGACCCAGATGCAAGCAGCATCCCTTCAAAACTGAGACAAGAAATACTAAAAACATCTTAATTTGGAAGAGTAATTTACCTTGAGAAAATAAAGGAATGCATAGGTCATGGTTTAACAAGGTTTTAGTCAAAAGAACTCATAAGAAACTAATTTTTGCAATTGACATTGCTAGAGTATGGAGCTTTTGACTTGTAAGTCTCTCTTTGTAGAGAAATTGACCCCCTCGTGTTATTCCAGAAGAGATGGGTGTCATGGATTCAGAGCCGAGGGCATTGTGATCAATTATTAGATGCTACTGTTAGGCTAATGAAAACAGGGTCATGACGAATGAAAAAAGCAGATACAGCTATGGCCTCAATAGTCTAGTTTTCATGGAAGACATTTCATTAGTATAGATGTTAAAGTTGCAACTTTTCAGATAGTTATAAGGCCGCACAGTATTACTTGCATCTTTTATTATAATGAAATTAATATTCAACAGCCATATATTTCACAAAAGAAAGTATAGAACTAACGACCAACTGGAAAACAAATGTACACACTCAAGAGCTATAGCCTGTTAATGGTGAAGCACTGAATCGTTTGTTATACTAACATTAGAATTCCATCATCATACCATTCATAAAACTGGATAGAGTTTCCATTATACACAGTGAATAGAATATGCACAGATTTCAAATACAGTTTATTTCTTCTCCAAAAAAAATTAAAAAAAAGGTAACTGAAAGAGTGAGGCATAATGAATGCATATTAGATATTACAAACTAAGATACAGTTGATACAAAATAATCAGTATAACCAACTACTATAAGTCTATAACTCAGTCCAATACAATTTTAAAGACCTTGATATTTTGTAGAAAACCATGTTTGCTAAGATAGTGCTTGTCAACTAAAGAGAAAAAAGAGTACATTTGAGGTGTTATGTGTGCATAGAACAATGAGATATTTTCAATTGTGTAAACATAGAAATCAAAGCATGTTCCATGGTTTACCTCAACATCAATCTGTTTCAACATTATACAAAAAATTTATCAAATTTTTCCTCCATCTAAATCCTGAGTTACAGGAAATAAAAATAGATTTTTTCCCCGTAAATTAAGCTAGTAAAGAGCAAAATCTGACCACCAAACTGCAATTTAGATCAGATTTAACCTTCCTACTTACTTTCTGATTCTTCGAAAAGAGCAAAAAATAGGGCGATCAAACAATTCCTCTGCGTTTCAATATGAAAGCTTTTAACTCCTAACAAACAACTCATCAAATTTCCCGCCGTAGCACGCTTATTCGTAATTACTTAAGCGAAAAGAATAAATTGCACAAACAACGTCAGGAAAAGATCAAAAATTTTCAAAATGAAGACAATCTTTTTTGCCAATAAAGGAAAGGAAAAAAAAGTTAGGGCCAAAAAATTGAGATAAAGAAAATCAAGTAACAATACCGAGAGATGACCTTCGCCCTCCATTATCAAACCCCTAATTTCCACAGCAGAGAGATCGACGAGATTGAAGGTCCTTATTTTTTGAGTAAATTTGAGAGGGAGAGCGAGTGAGGGTTTTTTTTATAGAGGGGACTAAAATGAGATCAGTCCAAGGAGTAAAAATTTATTTAAAAAAAGTGGGAAAATAATCCGACCTGCCGGATTCGAACCAGCGACCTAAGGATTGACCTGCAACACACTACAGTCCTCCGCTCTACCAACTGAGCTAAGGTCGGTCTTGCTTCTGACTTAACTAACTTAAGATTAAAACAAATCTATTTTTGAATTATCATTAATTATATGATGTGCCATGGACTCCGAACGTGCGGGCGTAATGTAAGTAGGGGTGCTAAACCGTATCTGTATCCGAGGAAATATCTGTAACCGTATCCGTTAGGATACGGATATGGTTAATCAAATCTATAACTGATAGGATATGGTTACATATATGGTTTTATAGTAAAATATCTGTATCCGTATCCGAAATATCCGAATACATATTAGTCATACTCTTACGATAGTTTTGATTCTTAGATTATGGATTTGTGTTTAATTTTGATGATCAAGATGTCTAATCTTAACTTTTCAGTTATAATGAACACATTAACGAACTCTTTTGTATCACATGAACTATGTTTTTCTCAATACCATCTAGCTTTTTCATATCCGTTTTGTATCTGCATGCATATCCGCTTATATATCCGCACGTATATCCATAACCGTTTCCGATTTTATCGGATATGGATATGAATTTTTCTTACCGAGTTATATCCGTATCTATATCCGTATCTGTATCCGTATCCGAGATGAGTAAGCGGATATGGATATGGTAGGCATCATATCCGAGCCGTATCCGGACCGAGTAGACCCCTAAATGTAAGTCTCAAGCTCGAGTTTTAGACTCCAGATAACCAACAACACTCTGATGCAACACATGTTTTCTATATGTATACATCATTTCTACATATACGGAAAAAAGTTATAATCAGATGGATATGAGCACGAATACATATATAGTTTTCTATATGTATACATCATTTCAACCCCTGCATAAATCTAGGCTAAGCCTATCTAGCTTCTGAAACTGGGTGAAGCCTCTTTTGTTGGATTCTGGGCCTTAGGGCAGGAGTGGTTGCCCCTAGTTGGCCCATGAGCCTAGCAACAGTCCTTCAAAGGGATTTACTGAAGCGTGGTGTGGTGGAGTTTTCCACCTTGGCTTCTTTCTCTACATTTATACTTGATTACAAACCTAAGGCAAAAGAGGGTCGTACCTCATGTCATTATTGAAATAGACACACATACACACATACATATATACATACATACATGTTGCGCGCAGCGGAAATTTCGGCAGCACTTCGGCAGCACAACAAGAGTTAGGTCGCAATAAGAAATTCTTGTTTCTCAAAGGGAACAAGAATCTGAAGCCTATATCCTATCAAAGTAGGATATTAGCTATTCCTCTCGTCAGCTCTAGGACTGCGCGTCGAGGGACCCTAAAAGCTATTACAAATCACACAAAAGCAGTACAACCAATTTTAACGTGGTTCGGCAAATTGCCTACGTCCACGGGGCAAGGAGGGGGGAGATCTACTAATAGAGGGAGAGAATACAACTAGGGTTTACAAAAGAATCTCACAAATAAAACCCTCACACAAACTCTCAAACCTCTCACACTAACTCTCTCTACAAAAGATGCTCAGAACAAATTGAAGACCACCAAAATAATCAACTCCTTTGCTCTGAATTTCTTCTGCCGAAAAAGAACCAAATAAATCTCCTTGTTTGCTTTTTCTCCGCAGCCGCCAACCAAAAAAACACCCTGCTCCTTCGCGCAAACATAGGGAGAAATCAATCAGCTATATTTATAGCTACTTGCTTTTCGGGTGGGCCGTCTCGTGGGCTTCGTGTGTCTTCACGCGGTTGGGAAACCGCGTCCACTGCCTCCGTGTTCACACATACATACATGCACATAGATATATAGTATGTATGTATGTATAAGTTTTGCACCAAAATTCTGAAAGTTCAGCTAATTAAAGTAAAAACGATTTATATTAGACTACTGCTTCAACTATTAAATATACATCGATTTCGATCCTTAATAGTCTCTCTGTTTTTGTTTGTCGAGGTTCATGTCAAATATTTTCCAATAAAGCCAAATGCCAACAGAGAAACTTACTAAAAAATAATATCGATACGATTCTTCTGTATTAAAACAAAATAAATTTGGCACACATTGACAAACTTTGAGAACTAGATGAACATATTTAGCTCGCGCCACGCACGCGCGATCTTCTTTATCTTGCGAAGTCGAGCAGAGATAAAGAAAGAGAAGAGATAAATATATTGGGAGCGCATCACATGAAAAAATTAGCAAAGTCATACTAAACGACTCACTAAACTATTATTGAGAAAGAAAGAGAAAGCTCAGGGAAAGTCATGGAAAGTTTAGAGAAATCTCTATCAACTTATAAAAACTAAGTCAAAAGACTTCTTCGTATTTTGTACAGACAAGTTACTTCGTATTCCCCACTGATTTGAAAACATCAATGTGATTGACTAGAAATCCCCTTTTTTTTCCAAGATTCTGTAAACCATAGAATCAATAATTTCTCATCTTATCAGCCCTACGGGCAGTTTTCCGTGGAAAAATATTTGATGATATAATAAATTCTAAGTTATATCTATAAAGTTTCCAAAGATTTTAATAGAAATTTTTAGATTGACCACGCAAGAAGATTGAGAACACAGTTACACTAACTCAGCTGGAAAGCCTAACAGATTAAATAAAAACGTATAAAAACTAAAGAAGTTTATTTCATCATTAATTATTGTAGAGCGGTATATGAAAAAAGAAATGACGAAACATCCTTAAATGCTAACATGTTATAACTAATTATGATATAATTGTTATATAGTGTCTCATATTCACCAATAATTTTTCGTATTCATTTTCGTATAGTAATTATGGTAAATACCGTAAATTGATAATTGATGTAAAAAGTCTTAGCAACTTAGAACACCATTGATATTGTTAGTTAAATAGAAGAAAAGGACATGTGATTTCGCTAATTAAAAATTATAGCTTAATTAGATTTATTATTGAATCGTAATGACAAGTACATTGATAGATAGATCATGTTCAGCTCCAAACAGGATTATACCCAAGTGTATTATTATTTCCAAGTAAAACATTTACTAGTGTGTACCCCGTAAGCATGGCCCCCTGTTTTTTTTAAGCATTCATTTTGAACCTGACTCCCTTTGAGGTTTAATACATTTGATTTTATTATTGTATGTTTAAAATTAGAAATTATATCTACAGCTCTATACTAGAAAGTAGGGTTGGGCATATTCGGTTCGGTTCGGTTTTATGCTCAATCCGCATCCAATCCAGATTTTCCGGATTCTCAAAACTCTCATCCAGATCCAGATTTTTTCCCCTTCATCCGAATATTCGGCCCAACCGAAATTCGGTTCGGTTTCGATTTTGAATTTGCAAAGAGTTCTATCCAAAGACTTCTGTTGTGAATTTGCAAGCTGGGCATTGTCCTCATGATGAGGTTCCTGAGCTCGCCAACAAAGCTTTATTAGACTGGTTATCATCTTTAGAATAAAGTTTTGAGTTGATATAATTACGCAGAGAACTGATGTTGTTCATATAATACAGCATGTTTATCTCTTGTAAGTATCATGTACATAACACATTTTGTGATTGATTTGAATCTTATGTAATTCTCAAGATCTATTCTGCGAAATTTTTTAACTAAAGTTTAAGTTTATTTAATTACACGGGGGAGTGATGTTTTGTATGATATTGTTCATATAATGTAGCATATGCATCTTTTGTAAGTGCATCATGTGCATAACAAATTTTCTGGATTGATTTGAATCTTTACTTAGTTCTCAGGGATATTTTTCTATGATATTGCTGTACTCATTGCTTGAAACTGCTCCTTGCGCCGTTTGAATCTATTGGATGATAACAGGAAAAGTTTTGAGATATAAGTTTAGTCTCTAAACCGCCCAACAGAATTCGGGTCGGTTTTTTTTGGGCGGTTCAGGGGTTCAAACCGGATCCAAACCGATTTAATTCGGTTCGGAAGGTTTAGAGATTTCTTCTCATCCATTTAATTCGGTTCGGTTAACCGGTCCGTTTTTTCGGGCGGTTTTTTTGGTTGAACTGGTTTTTTTCGGTTTTTGCCCACCCCTAGAAAGGACATTGTTCATAATACAGTAAAAAATTGTAACATGAACAAATTTACTCCTCCAAGCATAACAGAACCCAAAGATTTACTGTTTATGTTATGACAATTTAGTGTATCATGAATAGTAAACTTTTGAATCACCCTTTAGGTATAGAGAAGTAGATGGATAATACATAAACTTGACAAGTGACTTGCACTGTAATCGGAGCATAAAGATAAGCCTGTCTTAATGTCACCATCACAACATCAAAGCAAACGTCATGGGTGACAATATTAGCAATTTGATATTCTAATTATTCTTCAATTAAATTGCGACCTTAAGGACGGGGAAATCAAGTCAAAGTAGAAAAACAACTTAGAGTTTGACCACAGGAGACGTTGACTTTGGATAACACACGAACAAAAATTTTCAATCCGGTGCGCCGTTGCCTAGTCCCGCATGCGCCTACCTTTCTAGAAGCCAGAGATAATATATAGGTCTCGCCGCACAATATACACGATTAGGGTACTTTATAAGGGTTTCTTTTTTTCTTTTTTTTTTCTTTTTTCTTTTTCTTTTTTTTTTTTTTGGGGGGGGGGGTTTTTTTTTTTTTTTTTTTTTTTTTTTTTTTTTTTTTTTTTTGGGGGGGGGGTTAAGTTTTTCAGATTTGTTCCCTTCAATATTTCATATTTTTAAATTAGCCCCGAAAATCATTGAAATTGGTATTAGTTCCCCTTACGTCAATTGCTCCAAATCAGTTTTGTTAGGGTAAACTCTTGTCTGAATAGGTAAGAAATATTCCGTTAATCACACCAAGTCCTTAACTTGAGTTTCAAAATATCCATGTGTTTTAAGTTAATTTACACCGACACAGAGTTGTTTTCTAAACGCAAAGCCTTTCCTCCTCCAATAATAATCTT